AAAGAAAGGAAGAAATCATCAAATCAAGTTGTGCTCCACTTCTGTGAAAGATACTCCACCTCCTCAAGCCACCCCCCCGTTGGAGTCATGTGATTAATGACGCAACACGTTGGGTGGAGCTGGGTGGCGTCATTGCGCTAACTGAAAGTGCAACCTATAGCACAGAAGTTGTGGTGTCACAAAGAAAGAAAGAAAGAAAGAAAGAAAGAAAGAAAGAAAGAAAAAGAAAAAAAAGAAAGAAAGAAAGAAAGAAAGAAAGAAAAAAAAAAGAAAAAGAAAGAAAGATAGAAAGAAAGAAAGAAAAGGAAGGAAAGAAAGGAAAGAGAGAGAGAGAAAGAAAGAAGAAAGAAAGAAAGAAAGAAAGAAAGAAAAGGAACAAAGGAAAGGTAGGAAGGAAAGGAAAGGAAAGGAAAGGAAGGAAAGAAAGAAAGAAAGAAAGAAATATAGAGAAAAGGAATGAAGGAAAGGAAGGAAGGAAAGGAAAGGAAAGGACGGAAGGAAGGAAAGGAAGAAAGAAAGAAAGAAATCATCAAATCAAGTCGTGCTCCACTTCTGTGAATCATACTCCACCTCCTCAAGCCCCCCCCCGTTGGAGTCATGTGATTAATGACGCAACACGTTGGGTGGAGCTAGGTGACATCATTGCGCTAACTGAAAGTGCAACCTATAGCACAGAAGTTGTGGTGTCACAAAGAAGAAAGAAAGAAAGAGAAAGGAAGGAAGAGAGAGGGGGGGGGGGGAGAGAGAGAGAGAGAGAAAGAAAAAGAAAGAAAGAACAGGAAGGAAAGGAAGGAAAGAAAGAAAGGAAGAGAGAGAGAGTGAGAAAGAAAGAAAGAAAGAAAGAAAGAAAGAAAGAAAGAAAAAGAACGAGAGAAAGAAAGAAAGAAAAAGAAAGGAAGAAATCATCAAATCAAGTTTGTGCTCCACTTCTGTGAAAGATACTCCACCTCCTCAAGCCACCCCCCGTTGGAGTCATGTGATTAATGACGCAACACGTTGGGTGGAGCTGGGTGGCGTCATTGCGCTAACTGAAAGTGCAACCTATAGCACAGAAGTTGTGGTGTCACAAAGAAGAAAGAAAGAAAGAAAGAAAGAAAAAGAAAGAAAGAAAGAAAGAATAAAAGAAAAAGAAAAAAAGAAAGAAAGAAAGAAAAACTGGCTGACCTGGATGGACTTTTGTCTTTTTTCAGCCAGACTAACTATGTAATAGTTTGCAGTCGGATGTTTTATTGATTTATGTGTATCTGTAGTATATTATTTGATTCATTCTGATGTGGGGACACATGTAAGGTGTCAGCAGTGTAGTCAGCATAGTGTCTTTCTTTGAACATGTTATTTATTAGCATTTGGTGGCAGTTCAGGAGGATTTTCTTTCATCTCTGAAGCATTTGCTTTGTGTGCTGCTTAGTTGGCATCTATAAATCGCATTCTTTATAATGAGTTCTTTCTCTGTTTATCACGTTGGGGATGTGGTGCCATCAAGTGACAACCTTTATATATCAATACGTTATCTCGCACAGACCTCTCATCCCATTGAGAAGCTCCGGTATGAGATATTTTTGGCTTTTCTTATGTTTTTTTCCATGCGGACACACACGGCGGCAGTTCTCTCCCATCCACTATTATCCGCCTCTCTGCATGGCGGAGTTTGGAGGAGCGGTCCGCATGCGTCCCTAAACCTTTTTATAAGGAAACAATAAGCGAAGGGAGCGAGAGAAGCCGGTTGTCAGGCCTTAAGTAGTACAAGAATCTCCCGGAGCTTCAGCCTGTGTGACGGAGCCAGCAGAAGGCCTGAATTGCTATCAGCATCGGCAGGGCTTAGCGGGGACACACACGAAGACCCCATGAATAATATCACAATGGTCGCCTCCGCAGAACAATGCCTCCTGGTAGCACAACGGCCGTCCGAGCGCTTGGTTTGCAAATGAGAACGTGGCGAGGGCTGATAATGGGAGTCTGCGGTCGGCCTTCAGTGGCAGAATTCAGTTACCTCTTAATTTGACATGGTGGGACGGTGACACCTATACATGGCGTACTCTGATCCGAAGCCGCCCAGAGTGGAGCCACTCATGCCGAACGCGGCGAAATGGTCGCTGAGCAGACCTAATGCGGATAAAGCGCCTGGGACACAAAGCATGCTCAAGCGGCAAGAGGGGGGGGGGGGGGGGGGGGGGGGGGGGGGGGGGGGGGGGGGTTATCAGGGTGGAGCAAGTGTACTTTTTTTTTATGAAAAAAAATGATCCTACTTTTATTTTCTGAGATCTGCTTGACTTTATTTGGAAGCCGCAGGAGTCTTAAATATCTCTGATGTATTTCAGCAGAAATGAAGAGCGAAACGTAGACAGGAAATTATACGGCAAATATTTTATTGTGGACAGGGGGTCTGTATCCTCAAAGAGAGGGACCGTCCAAGGGGTGCACCTAGAGATACAGGTGTCACAAAAGCACAATGGAGTCACAGAATGACACCGGATTCTCAGGAATCACTGCATGACAGAGGAAGGCACAGGGGTCACAGAGTCACTGGGGAAATAAGAAGCACTGGGGTCACTGGAGACACAGGAGTGCTGGAGTCACTGGAGACGCTGGGGTCATTGGACACATGGGAGTGCACAGGGGTCACAGAGTTACTGGAGGCCCAGGAGTGCTGGAGACACTGGGGTCATTGCACATATGGGAGTGCAAAACTACAGTTACAGGAGCACTGGAGTCACTGGGATGGCTGGAGTGCACAGGGGTCACAGAGGTACTGGAGGCACGGGAGTGCTGGTGTCACTGGAGACATGGTCATTGGACACATGGGAGTGCTGGTGTCACTGGAGGCACAGGAACACTGGGTTAACTGGAGATATTGGAGGCACAGGGATCACAAAGTCACTGGAGTGCACTAGGAATGTAAAGTCACAGGGAGTGCAGGAGCTATGGGGCAACTGGAGACGATGGGATTGCGGGGGGTGCACAGGGTCACTGGAGACACTGGAGTGCACAGGGGTGACAGAGCCACATGGGGTGTGGGAATGCTGGGGTCACTAAAGATACTGGGATCACTGGAGTGCACAGGTGTCACTGGGGGAGCTGGAGCACTCAGGGGACACAGAGTTATTGGTGGCACAGGAGTGCTGGGATCACCGGAGTTACTGGGGTCATTGGACACATGGGAGTGCACAGGGGTCACAGAGTTACTGGAGGCACAGGAGTGCTGGTGTCACTGGAGACATTGGTGTTTGCTGTAGTACGCATGGAACACAAAGGTTCTGGAGGCACAGGAGCACAGGAGTCACTAAAGATACTGGGGTGGCTGGCATGCAGAGAAGTCACAGAGTTACTGAAGGCCCAGAAGTGCTGGTGTCACTAGAGAATCTGGGATCATTGGACACATGGGAGTGCACAGGGGTCATAGAGTTACTGAAGGCACAGGAATGCTGGAGTCTCTGGTGTCACTGAACACATGGGAGTGCAGAGGGGTCACAGAGTTACTGAAGGCACAGGAGTGCTGGTGTCACTGGAGACTCTGGGGTCATTGGACACATGGGAGTGCAGAGGGGTCACAGAGTTACTGAAGGCACAGGAGTGCTGGTGTCACTGGAGACTCTGGGGTCATTGGACACATGGGAGTGCAGAGGGGTCACAGAGTTACTGAAGGCACAGGAGTGCTGGTGTCACTGGAGACTCTGGGGTCATTGGACACATGGGAGTGCAGAGGGGTCACAGAGTTACTGAAGGCACAGGAGTGCTGGTGTCACTGGAGACTCTGGGGTCATTGGACACATGGGAGTGCAGAGGGGTCACAGAGTTACTGAAGGCACAGGAGTGCTGGGAAAACTTTACAAATACCATATTTATAAATATTCCTAACTCACTTTTGTTACGCAGAATTCAGAAGGAGGAGTCAAGCAATCCATCGTGCGGAGGAATTATGGTTGAGAATTGTACCTCATAAAGGCGAACTCCACTCAAAAAGTGAAGTCCCCCTGGTCTGCTCCCTCTCCCCAGCCTGTAATTGAATTATATTTTTTGGGGGGGCAAGTATCGATTTTTTATTGGTACCTGCTCCCACTTCCGCAATCCTTGTCTAGTCGAGGAAGGCGTCCTTTGCCACGCCTGCAGCCTCCTGGGACACATGACTTGTACCAGGAGGCTGCAGGTCCACATACAAAGCACTGCATGAGCTTGCACATGGGCAGTGGGAAGCCAGTTGAGGTTCCTCAGGAAGCCACAGCCAGCTTCCCATTTTTAAGATGGCGGCACCGGCCATAGACTGTATGGGAATGCAAAACTCACTGGAAGCGGGTCAAATCTAAGGCAGAAGGAGATTAACTGCTGGTCAAGTGTCCCTGAAATATGAACGATCCCAACAGAATTCCAAACTGATGGCAATGATACAGATAAAAACTCTAGCCACCAGAATCCACTTGTGCTTGGAAAACCACGTTTTATTGCGCAAACCTTTTTTTCACTTGAGTGTTTGGTAAAATCCCTGTACTCAGTTCCCAGGTTTTGCCCATTATGTGGGGTTCCCACCATCCCTGTGCTGAGTTCCCAGGTCTGAACACCCGCTGTGCCCATTATGAGGGGTTCCCACCATCCTCGTGCTGAGTTCCCGGGTCTGTACACCCGCTGTGCCCATTATGAGGGGTTCCCACCATCCCTGTGCTGAGTTCCCGGGTCTGTACACCCACTGTGGCCATTATGAACGGTTCCCACCATCCCTGTGTTGAGTTCCCAGGTCTGAACACCCGCTGTGCCCATTATGAGGGGTTCCCACCATCCCCGTGCTGAGTTCCTGGATCTGTACACCTGCTGTGCCCATTATGAGGGGTTCCCACCATCCTTGTGCTGAGTTCCTGGGTCTGTACACCTGCTGTGCTCATTATGAGGGGTTCCCACCATCCCTGTGCTGAGTTCCCGGGTCTGTACACCCGCTGTGCCCATTATGAGGGGTTCCCACCATCCCTGTGCTGAGTTCCCGGGTCTGTACACCCACTGTGGCCATTATGAACGGTTCCCACCATCCCTGTGTTGAGTTCCCAGGTCTGAACACCCGCTGTGCCCATTATGAGGGGTTCCCACCATCCCCGTGCTGAGTTCCTGGATCTGTACACCTGCTGTGCCCATTATGAGGGGTTCCCACCATCCTTGTGCTGAGTTCCTGGGTCTGTACACCTGCTGTGCTCATTATGAGGGGTTCCCACCATCCTTGTGCTGAGTTCCTGGATCTGTACACCTGCTGTGCTCATTATGAGGGGTTCCCACCATCCTTGTGCTGAGTTCCCGGGTCTATACACCCGCTGTGCTCATTATGAGGGGTTCCCACCATCCCTGTGCTGAGTTCCTGGATCTGTACACCCGCTGTGCCCATTATGAGGAGTTCCTGCTATCCCTGTGCTGAGTTCCTGGATCTGTACACCAGCTGTGCCCATTATGAGGAGTTCCCACCATCCCTGTGCTGAGTTCCCGGGTCTGTACACCCGCTGTGCCCATTATGAGGGGTTCCCACCATCCCTGTGCTGAGTTCCCGGGTCTGTACGCCCGCTGTGCCCATTATGAGGGGTTTCCGCCATCCCTGTGCCGAGTTCCCGGGTCTGTACACCCGCTGTGCCATTATGAGGGGTTCCCACCATCCCTGTGCTGAGTTCCCGGGTCTCTGCACCTGCTGGACCCATTATGAGGGATTCCCACCACCCGTGCTGCATGTCTAACCCATTGTATATTACAGTATAGAGAATGTAATACAAGGAGCTTGAAAACATAAAGGTGGATGAAAACTCCCAGGTTTGCAGGAAAAGAGCAGAGAATTATGATAGGGACAGTTCAGTATTGGAGTGTCATTTGACATTTGAAAAGTCCGGGGCTAACAAGCACCACCTGTAACCTATAAAATCTAACTTTTGGGTGAACCATCCTTGAGATCTGGACTTAACCATCAATGGGATCTAAACTTAAACTTGTTGGGATCTAGACCTAGCCATCATTGGGATCTAGACCTAGCCATCATTGGGATCTAGACCTAGCCTTCATTGGGATCTAGACCTAGCCTTCATTGGGATCTAGACCTAGCCATCACTGGGATCTAAACCTAGCCATCATTTGGATCTTGACCTAGCTACTATTGGGATCTAGACCTAGCTACTGTTGGGATCTGGACCTAGCCATCATTGGGATCTAGACCTAGCCTTCATTGGGATCTAGACCTAGCCATCATTGGGATCTAGACCTAGCCTTCATTGGGATCTAGACCTAGCCTTCATTGGGATCTAGACCTAGCCATCACTGGGATCTAAACCTAGCCATCATTTGGATCTTGACCTAGCTACTATTGGGATCCAGACCAAGCTACTGTTGGGATCTGGACCTAGCCATCATTGAGATCTAGACCTAGCCATCATTGAGATCTAGACCTAGCCATAGTTAGATATAGACCTAGCCATCATTGAGATCTAAACCTAGCCATTGTTGGGATCTAGACCTAGCTACTGTTGGAATCTAGACCTAGCCATCATTGGAATCTAGACCTAGCCAATGTTGGGATCTAGACCTAGCCATCGTTGGATCTAAACCTAGCCATCATTGGGATCTGGAGCTAGCTACCTTTGGGATCTAGACCTAGCTACCGTTGGAATCTAGAACTAGCTACCGTTGGGATCTAGACCTAGCTACCATTGTGATCTAGACCTAGCCATCAATGGAATCTAGACCTAGCCAATGTTGGGATCTAGACCTAGCCATCACTGGATCTAGACCTAGCCATTTTTGTGATCTAGACCTAGCCATCATTGGGATCTAGACCTAGCCATCAATGGAATCTAGACCTAGCCAATGTTGGGATCTAGACCTAGCCATCACTGGATCTAGACCTAGCCATTTTTGTGATCTAGACCTAGCCATCATTGGGATCTAGACTTAACCATCCTTCAAGGTATGATTGTTATTGCAGAGTTACATTGGTCCAGCCTGGCACAATGTAGATATGAATCTCCTACACCAGAGCGACTGCTGGGCAGTGACACCGCAATCTCTAGCTGGATGGGACCAGGAAGACTACAGCTTTCACAGTGGAAGTGACGACTCTACGGTGACATAGCGACTCCACAGCGACTACTAAGGTTTCATTGTGCTAAACCGGACCAACGCAATACAGATTATTCCTGGAGTTCAGAGTCCTGAAGTGTTGAATTCTTACATTCTGTTTTCTTGCAGATGGATCCGCCTTCTTTTTTATGTACAGAGGTCTGGTGTGTTTGTAGCTAGATGATCCCGAAATATTAATATACATATAACCCCAATCAGTCCAATCTCATACAACTCTTAATATGTCATTTCAAAAGTCATCATTATCAATATTTGTACAGTTGCAAGAAAAAGTATGTGAACCCCTTGGGATTCCGTGGAGTTTTGCATGAATTGGGCATAAAATGTGCTCTGAACGTCATCTAAGTCACAACAATAGAAGAACACAGTCTGCTGAACATAATACTACACAAACATTAGATGTTGCCATGGTTTAATTGCACATAACATGTAAACATTCACAGTGCAGGGAGGAAAAAGTATGTGAACCTTTGGAGTTAATAACTGGTTGACCCTCCTTTGGCAGCAATAACCTCAACCAAACGTTTCCTGGAGATCAGAAATGCCACAGAGGATCAAAAATTTAAAAACAGTATTAAAAAAACAAAACAAAAAAAACAACAATTATTTATGATGCACAGAGCAAACTAAGGGGCATATTTATAAAGCAGTGAATGTGACATTCACCAAACATGGGCAGCACAGTGGCTAAATGGTTAGCACTTCCGCCTGGCAGTACTCGGGTCGACGGTTCGAATCCCAACCATGGCACCACCTGCCTGGAGTTTGCATGTTATCTCTGTGCCTGCGGGAGTTTCCTCCGGGTACTCTAGTTTCCTCCAAGACCCCAAAGACATGCTGGTCAGTTAATTGGATCCTGTCTAAATTGTCCCGTGTATGTATGAATGTGAGTTAGGGACCTTAGATTGTACGCCCCTTGAGGGTTAGGGACCTTAGATTGTACGCCCCTTGAGGGTTAGGGACCTTGGATTGTACGCCCCTTGAGGGTTAGGGACCTTAGATTGTACGCCCCTTGAGGGTTAGGGACCTTAGATTGTACGCCCCTTGAGGGTTAGGGACCTTAGATTGTATGCCCCTTGAGGGTTAGGGACCTTAGATTGTATGCCCCTTGAGGGTCAGGGACCTTAGATTGTACGCCCCTTGAGGGTTAGGGACCTTAGATTGTACGCCCCTTGAGGGTTAGGGACCTTAGATTGTACGCCCCTTGAGGGTTAGGGACCTTAGATTGTATGCCCCTTGAGGGTTAGGGACCTTAGATTGTACGCCCCTTGAGGGTTAGGGACTGATGTGAATATACAATATATATGTAAAGTGCTGCATAAATTGATGGCACCATATAAGTACCTGAAATAAATAATAATAATAAATAAAGCAGTGAATGTGACATTCACCAAACATTCACTGCAGGTGTAGCTTCCTAGCAAATGTGAATTTAATTACACTCATTGATTCTCCTGCATTCACCCAAGGTTCACATCTGTGCGGGTGGTGCCGAACCACCCGCACAGAGAAACGCAGACCCGTGGGCGGGTGCCATTAGTTCTAACGGCACGCCGCCCGCACTGAAAAACGCAACCGTACTGAGAACCCAGGTTCCAGCATGGGCTGCGTTTTCAGAAGAAGTGCAGGGACTTTTTTTCCCCGCGTGTCCTGGGGCACGGGAGTCCGTTCAAACGACTGGGCTCTCGTGTCCGCGCAAAACGCGGGCCGCATAGATGTGAACCGGGGGGGGGGGTGAATCTTTTGTTGAATGTCACATTTATAAAGAAACACCTAAAATTTCATACATCTGACTTGTAATCCCGCTAATAAAATCTTTAGAACTCTGCACTAGAAATGGCGCTAAGATTCGATCGCCCCCCCCCCCCCATTTTTGGGAACACTCGATCTTTGTTCCTGAAGTTTGACAACTCTCCAGATTAACCCTTCGGGCCGCGGGCCGAGTCAATAAGCTTCCCACTGGCCGCCGTCCTTCTGCCGCGAGCACAAATGCCTCCTAATTGCTTTTTTAATATAGCGTAGAGTGGGCTTCCCGCCGGGGAAAGCTTGGGAATGGATATCTCCTGAGAAAGACAGAAAAGTGGAGAGATTTTCACAGGCCCGCCGTTCTCATCCCCGGCCGCCTCTGTATAAGTGGCAGCTACTTATGTTTTTCTTTCATTGTCTCTCCTTGTTTTGCTTTTTACTTTCAAGGGAAGTCGGAACAAAGAAGGGGCCCTGACCTCCTGACCTTCATTTCATTTTTCACAGGATTGGCCGAGGGGGAGAAAAAAAGAAAAAAAAAGATCGCTTTGGCCCACTGATCCAGCAAAAGAGAAAAGCTTGATGAAGTATGGACGGGTCCGAGGAGAGCCTAGCAAGGGGGAAAGCCGCGGGGAGACCCAAGCCCTGGGTTTTCGGGGTGCTACGTCATGGCGTCGAAGGAAACGTGACTGGGCTGTCCAACCAAGTTCTAATTTGGAAGACCCTCTTTCTATGATTAGATGTCCAGCAAAAGAGAAAAGCTTGATGAAGTATGGACGGGTCCAAGGAGAGCCTAGCAAGGGGGAAAGCCACGGGGAGACCCCAACCCTGGGTTTTTGGGGTGCTACGTCATGGCGTCGAAGGAAACGTGACTGGGCTGTCCAACCAAGTTCTAATTTGGAAGACCCTCTTTCTATGTTTAGATGTCCAGCAAAAGAGAAAAGCTTGATGAAGTACAGACAGGTCCAAGGAGAACCTAGCAAGGGGGGAAAGCCATGGGGAGACCCAAGCCCTGGGTTTTCGGGGCGGTACGTCATGGTGTCGACAGAAAATGTGACTGGGCTGTCCAACCAAGTTTTAATTTGGAAGACCTTCTTTCTATGTTTAGACCTCCAGCAAAAGAGAAAAGCTTGATGAAGTACAGACAGGTCCAAGGAGAGCCTAGCAAGGGGGAAAGCCATGGGGAGACCCCAGCCCTGGGTTTTTGGGAGGCTACGTCATGGAGTCGAAGGAAATGTGCCTGGGCTGTCAAACCAAGTTTTAATTTGGAAGACCTCTTTCTATGTTTAGACGTCTAGCAAAAGAGAAAAGCTTGATGAAGTATGGACGGGTCCAAGGAGAGCCTAGCAAGGGGGAAAGCCACGGGGAGACCCAAGCCCTGGGTTTTTGGGAGGCTACGTCATGGCATTGAAGGAAATGTGACTGGGCTGTCCAACCAAGTTCTAATTTGGAAGACCCTCTTTCTATGTTTATGTCTATGTTTTTACGAAAATTCGGGGACCGTCTATGGCCTGCATAAGTCATGGAAAGTCAATTCGACTTGTAAAAACTTTATTCATGTTATGGTGCAGAGCCTTGCCTATCCTGCTGCATGTTGCTGATTGCACCGCGGCCAAGCCCTATGCCAGTGTAGAGGGTTCCTGATGGGTCATGTAATGGGGGGGCCACCACAAAACATCCTCTTCCCTAGTGATCAATGCATAGCCTGTGCTAAATCACCTATTATTATTATTTTTCAAAATCTCACTTTTAAAAACCCGCAAATAGGAAGCTCTTTACTGCAGAAGAGGGCAGCACAGCGGCTAAATAGTTAGCACTTCCGCCTGGCAGCACTAGGGGTGTTGGTTCAATTCCCAACCACGGCAGGGGAGGAGCCAGTACATCTGAGCAAAACTGGAAGGGAGGAGCCGGTACACCTGTGCAAGACTTGAGGGGAGGAGCTGGTACACCTGTGCAAGACTGGAAGGGAGGAGCCGGTACACCTGTGCAAGACTGGAGGGGAGGAGCCGATACACCTTTGCAAGACTGGAGGGGAGGAGCCGGTGCACCTGTGCAAGACTGGAGAGGAGGAGCTGGTACACCTGTGCAAGACTGGAGGGGAGGAGCCGGTACACCTGTGCAAGACTGGAGGGGAGGAGCTGGTACACCTGTGCAAGACTGGAGGGGAGGAGCTGGTACACCTGTGCAAGACTGAAGGGGAGGAGCCTGTACATCTGTGCAAGACTGAAGGGGAAGAGCCCACATGTGATGCCAAGTCTCCATGGTTGAAAGAACACCCATCGAGGCATTATGATATTTGCATAACCCCTCCCACTGCTTGCATCAGGGCTCTGGGGAGGAGTACTGAGGCAAAGGGATTTGATGGTTTCAGGAAGCTATGTACAGCCCCGCCCACCAGCTATGATTTGCCTGCAATGCCTATAGAAGTACAGAGTCCCATTGGTGACATCACTAGATCTAAAGTAAGGTGTGTAATGAAAACAGAAAGTTTTTATTTACAAAAATGGCATAAGTATGATAATGGGGGGGAGGGAGGGGGGGACGCAAAACAGAAGCAGACCAGCTTTATAGGACATAACAAGAGATGACAGGCAGGTGACCTGTGACAAGGTGGGACTTTCTTCTAAATAATCCATCAAACCGGCGACATCATAAAGAGGTCAGAGTTCACACTGAAGGCGAATTGAAGTCAAAGGGCTCAGATATTTCTCTTGAACCTTTTGTCAGTCCTTCTACTCTACAAGGAGGCCAAATACAGGTGGAGAGATGTAGGCTCAGATGTGGGAAAGAAGGACGTTATAGGAGAGAAAGACATTGCCGGTCCAACCCTGGCTTGTCTTTTATTAGAAAATCAGAACATGAGAGTTTGTTAGGTGAAGGATCATTGTCCTCCTCATATTCCTCCTCATTGTCCTCCTCATATTCCTCCTCATTGTCCTCCTCATATTCCTCCTCATTGTCCTCCTCATATTCCTCCCCATTGTCCTCCTCATAGTCCTCCCCATTGTCCTCCTCATATTCCTCCTCAATGTCCTCCTTATAGTTCTCCTCAATGCCCCCCTCATATTCCTCCTCTTTGTCCTCCGTATATATCTTCCTCATAATCCTCCTCAAATTCCTCCTCATTGTTCTCCACATTGTCCTCCTCACAATCCTCCCGGTTGTCCTCCACATATTCTTCCTCATTGTCCTTCTTATAGTCCTCCTCATATTCCCCCTCATTGTCCTCCTCACAGTCCTCCCCATTGTCCTCCTCATATTCCTCCTCGTTGTCCTTCTCATATTCCTCCTCATTGTCCTTCTTATAGTCCTTTCCTCATATTCCCCCTCATTGTCCTCCTCATAGTCCTCCCCATTGTCCTCCTCAATGTCCTCCTTATAGTTCTCCTCAATGCCCCCCTCATATTCCTCCTCTTTGTCCTCCGTATATATCTTCCTCATAATCCTCCTCATATTCCTCCTCATTGTTCTCCACATTGTCCTTCTCATTGTCCTCCTCACAATCCTCCCGATTGTCCTCCTCATATTCTTCCTCATTGTCCTTCTTATAGTCCTCCTCATATTCCCCCTCATTGTCCTCCTCACAGTCCTCCCCATTGTCCTCCTCATATTCCTCCTCGTTGTCCTTCTCATATTCCTCCTCATTGTCCTTCTTATAGTCCTCCTCATATTCCCCCTCATTGTCCTCCTCACAGTCCTCCCCATTGTCCTCCTCATATTCCTCCTCACAGTCCTCCCCATTGTCCTCCTCATATTGCTCCTCATTGTCCTTCATTTTTCTCCTCATTTTTCTTCTTATAGTCCTCCTCATTGTCCTCCTCACAGTCCTTCACATTGTCCTCCTCATATTGTTCCTCATTTTCCTCCTCATATTCCTCCTCATTGTCCTCCTTATAGCCCTCCTCAGTGTCCTCCTCATATTCCTACTCATAGTCCTCTTCATTATCCTCCTCATTGTCCTCTTAATTGTTCTCATAGTCCTCCTCAATGTCCTCCTCATATTCCTCCTCATTGTCTCCTCATTGCCCTCCTCATATTTCTCCTCATAGTCCTCCTTATAGTCATCCTCATTGTCTTCCTCATATTCCTCCTCATTGTCCTCCTCATAGTCCTCCTTCTTTTCTCCTCATTGTCCTCCTCATAGTCCTCCTCATTGTCCTCCTCATAGTCCTCCTCATTGTCCTCCTCATTGTCCTTATTATTATTATACAGGATTTATGGCGCCAACAGTTTGCACAGAGCTTTACAATATAACGGGAGACAATACAGTTCAATACAAGAGGGATAGGAGGGCCCTGATCCTGGGAGCTTACAATCTAAGAGGGATGGAAGGATCCTGATCCTGGGAGCTTACAATCTAAGAGGGATGGAAGGATCCTGATCCTGGGAGCTGACAGTCTAAGAGGGATGGGAGGTCCTGATCCTGGGAGCTTACAATCTAAGAGGGATGGGAGGTCCTGATCCTGGGAGCTTACAATCTAAGAGGGATAGGAGGGCCTGATCCTGGGAGCTTACAATCTAAGAGGGATAGGAGGTCCTGATCCTGGGAGCTGACAATCTAAGCGGGATAGGAGGGCCCTGATCCTGGGAGCTGACAATCTAAGAGGGATGGGAGGTCCTGATCCTGGGAGCTGACAATCTAAGAGGGATAGGAGGGCCTGATCCTGGGAGCTTACAATCTAAGAGGGATGGGAGGTCCTGATCCTGGGAGCTTACAATCTAAGAGGGATGGGAGGTCCTGATCCTGGGAGCTTACAATCTAAGAGGGATGGGAGGTCCTGATCCTGGGAGCTGACAATCTAAGAGGGATGGAGGGTCCTGATCCTGGGAGCTGACAATCTAAGAGGGATGGGAGGACCTGATCCTGGGAGCTGACAATCTAAGAGGGATGGGAGGTCCTGATCCTGGGAGCTGACAATCTAAGAGGGATGGGAGGTCCTGATCCTGGGAGCTGACAATCTAAGAGGGATGGGAGGTCCTGATCCTGGGAGCTGACAATCTAAGAGGGATGGGAGGACCTGATCCTGGGAGCTGACAATCTAAGAGGGATGGGAGGTCCTGATCCTGGGAGCTGACAATCTAAGAGGGATGGAGGGTCCTGATCCTGGGAGCTGACAATCTAAGAGGGATGGGAGGACCTGATCCTGGGAGCTGACAATTTAGTCGTCCTCATAATCCTTCTCATTGTCTTCCCAGCAGACTCTGAGGATATCTGTCAGCTATAGAAGGACTATGGGGGCATCTTGTGGACAATCTGCTAATTACAGCAGAAGGAGTTATAGTTCCATCCCCTTATTGGAAAGATCCATCGTACAAACCGACACGCCAAAAGGTGAGAGATATAGAGCTACCTAGGACAATATTCATGTATGAACATGGGTGGACTGACCATTTGGAAACTTGGGCACTGCCTGAGGGCCCGGGGTCAGTAGGGGGCCCCATGAGATGCCCCTGGTACCATTTTCATGGGCTTTTTTGAGTTTGGGCAAGGACACAGGGGCCCCATGATCCCCTATTGCCCGGGGGCCCCATGAGTTGTCAGTCCACCCCTGTGTATGAACATGGGTGACATAACATGGGTGACATAACATGGGTGACATAACATGGGTGACAATAGATGGGTGACACAACATGGGTGACATAACATGGGTGACATAACATGGATAACATGGGTGACATAACATGGGGGACATAACATGGGGGACATAACATGGGTGACATAACATGGGTGACATAACATGGGTGACAAAACATGGGGGACATAACATGGATAACATGGGGGACATAACATGGGGGACATAACATGGGTGACATTAGCATTGTACACAGAGATTGAGGAAGTGAACATTGCACACATATGTGGGACCAGGAAGTCCCTCTGGTGTAATTTACAGGTAAAAAGGGTAAACAGCAACAATGGACAGAATTCCATTACATAGTTCACTATGAAAAAAACGATTTCACCCTCCAGATGATCCCCCTCCCCCCCTTCCTGACCAGGCCATTGTTTGCGATACATCTCTGCGTTACTTTAACTGACAATTACGCGGTCATGCAATGCTGCACCCAAATTAAATTTACGTCCTTTTTTTCCCACAAATGGAGATTTCTTTCAGTGGTATTTGATCGCCTGTGCGGTTTTTTATTTTTTGCACTATAAAAAAAAGACCAACAATTTTGAGAAAAAAAAACAATACTTTTGACTTTTTGCTACAAACATATCCAGTAAAAAAAATGTAAAAAAATAAAAAATCATAAATTTAGACCAAAATGTATTCTGTTCCGTGTCTTTGCTAAAAAAAAAAAACCCCAGTATGTGTAAATGAACTGGTTTACGTGAAAGTTACAGCGTTTACAAATGGCGGTATAGATACTGGGATTTTTTGTTTTCCTAGTAATGGCGGCGATCAGCGACTTAGAGTGGGACCGTGGCGGGCATTCTGACACTGGGAGGGGGGGGGGAACTGATTTGGTGTCACTAACATCCCCAGTGACACCAATACAGTGATCAGTGCTAATAAAAAGCACCGACACCGTACTAATGGCACTGGGCAGGAAGGGGTTAAAGTGAGGGGCGATCAAAGGGTTAACTGTGTGTAGGGAGTGTTTTACTGAAGGGTGTGTGCTTCACTATAAGCACACTGATTGGGATGGCTGTGCTGTGCAGTGTGCCCGAGCTGACAGGGAGGAGGACTGTAAACAAAACAGTCTTCCTCCCTGTCGGTGATTGTTGGTAATCACCGGGTGCTGGCGGGTAATCACCGGCCGGGACCCGGAGATTGACATCCGCAGCCACGAATAGCGGCATGGGTAGAGTGCGCATGCAGCTCGCGCTCGCCCCCTACCTGGGAATGCAAAATCACATATATATATATATATACATGATTTTGTGCACCCGTGCCGCTGTGTAGCAGTATATCTGCTATACTCCGGCGTGTAAACGGTTAACCATGATCCATTTCAGTTTATTTTTCAAGTGGTGTCACCGATCCTTTCCAATGTTTAGCAATAGTGATTCTTGCAGCCAGGATCATATAAAGGATCGGTTTGGTTGATTTTTGGGGGGGAATTCTGAGAGAACTTTTGAAAAAGGTCTATCTCTGGGGACCTACAGATATTCACTCCTGCCACTGAATACAAAAAGTTATCCCCTTCATGCCTACGGGTGAAACAAATAGTAATGCCTAAGCACAATT